ATTTCCTTTTGACGACAGCATTGTATTTATTTTTGGTTAAGATTTTGACATTTTGATTATCATCCTTGGTCGAAATTGCAGACGTGTTCCCCAGTGGAGGGAAATTGCCGTCATAAGTGTGGTCATCGAGACATTCGAAATAATTTTCGGAAAAATTCTCTTTGACCTCTTTATACGAAAGATTTTTAATCGCCATTATCCTGTTGATGTTTAATTCAATTTCCCTATTAGGGCAACACTTATTGAGAGCGTTGTGCTCACCTGAGCCACAGGACACGGACTTCATCGCCTCACAATTTACACACTTCGGAGACTTTCCACAGTTAAGGCACCTGCTCTCTTTAGCTTTGCAGAATTTAGATACGTGACCGTATCTGCCACACTTAAAGCACTCTTTTAAAGTGGGTACAAAGTATTCGACCGGCAGATTACAATAATTAAATTTTATAGCCTTAGGGAGGGCTCTCCCTTTGAAGCCAACTTTGATGCTGGTTGTGGGAATCCACTCGTCTTTGTTGTTGGGATTTCTTCTTTGGAAACGGACAGCGGACTTAATAGGGATATCGGATACGGCGTTTTTAATTATATCATCGACACTATATGTGCATGGGATGTTTCGAATAACTCCAAATCTCTCAGTGAACGACCTCAGTATGTACGCTTTTAAATTCTTTTTATTAAATTCATTATTCATAACAAAATTGTTGGCATTGGCAGCGGAGCTGAAAAGCAGTTTGGCTCTACCCTTGCTGACAACTTTTAATTCTTTTAAGCCGTACATATCGAAATGCTTCAAGTAATCACAGAAATAGAGATTGGAGTTAATATTGATGCGATTTCCTTCTGCGTCCGCACACGTTTCGACAAAAAACAACAAAATTGCAGTTGGAAAGGCAATCGTACAAATTAATCTCGAGATTTGGGGCGGCTGTGGCACCCAAATCAGAGGGCTTGTCGGTAGCCTGTTTACTAGGCGGAATTAAAACGTTTGCGTTAGCTTCTCCGTTATCAGATAGATCAGATCACCCATATTCGATCTGTTGGTGTGCCCAGTGGCGTTCATGTAAAAATTTTCAAAACAGTCTCTATTAGTAGTTATAAGATCAGACCCAGTCTCCATAGGGAGACGGGCTGATGTTGTTTTGGTTGTTATCACGGGGAACACAAAAAGAAAAAATCACAAAGAAAAAACAAAAAATAATTGAATATATGTATTGCTTCTTAATTTTTCTCTCACGAGAGATTCCTCTTCCTTCCGTCCTTTTCCTTCTTTAAAATTGTTTTCTTTGGTTATTTTATTACTTTATTAAACCTCTTTTCCTTTTTTCAAATATTTAAAATCTTTTTTTTTTTTTTTTCTTTTTTTCACTAACACCGGTAAACACAAAAATTATCCAGCTGCCATTTGCAGAGATGACGTGTTGAATCAAGTGTGAATGAAATGCGAATGATTAAGTTCTGCTTTCGGCATTCGAAATTTACTTTCAAAACTTAATGGGAAAAGAGTGGGCAAACTTGACGTATGTTTGCTTATAATGATACAACCAATAACAAAATCACGCAAGGATAAATATAACAAAATTATGTAAAATTTCTTATAAAATGTAAATAAACGAAACAATTTCATATCCTACAAAAAATTCTACATTTTCATTTCGTAGTAAAATTTTGAGCAATTGGAGCAAAAAGCAAAAAAAGAACTAAATTACTCACCTTCCACGAATTTAAAATTGCTTGCTTTGGTTCAGCTGTTTGTACGTAAACAATTTTGTTACGAATTTATTTTTTTCTCAATTTATGAATGTTTTCTCTTATAAAAGCAGTTCTAAACAACTAATGCTAACTCAGAACAAGCAATACTAACATAAAAAGTCAGCAATTTTGCTTACGCTTGTTTTGGTAGTTTTGAGTCATACATAATCGGTGTCCCTGCTTTGTAAACAAAGTGTAACGACATATCGAGAAACGATTAGCAAAATTTGTTGGTAACAAGCATTAAAAGCCCTTGAGACACAGGTTGCCTTCAATTTCAAAAGTAAGATGACTCTTCTTGTTATTAGGTTTCTTTGGGATTAGTTTATTGGGATCGGCTGTCGACATGAAGAGAGTAGCGACAATGTATACGATTTTTGTCAGTGTGAGATATAATTTAATTCGACTATAAAAATGGCATCGAATAGTATATTCAAAACGGGAATAAAGTAGAATAGTAGTTAACAAATATAATAATGACCTAATTTAATTAAAGACGGAAATTCCAATATGTTGGGGAAAACGAATAATTATTTTAAAGGCTTTTCTCTTCTGGTGTAACAAAATAAAAAGAGTATTAAAGAAATTAACAAAAATATTTTTGGGAAATATTAAAAGAAAAATTGAAGGGTTACAAAAATATAATTAAAAAAAATATATAAATGAAAAATATTTTATTTGGATTGTTGTTTTGCTTATTTGATTGTTTACTTTCCTCCTCTTTTCATTTATTTGCATTTATATTAGCACTGATACACCAATAAGATTACATGTAAACTTTCAATACAGCATAATCAGAAAAATGGTGGAGTCGCGTTCGTGTTCGAAGTCAGCAGCCGTAAACCAGCCCCTGGTTTGAAAATATGTTTAATCACTCTTATTTAGTTCTCTCCGGTCTATTTATATACGCGTTACAACACTTTCAAAAATCCAATTTTTCTTCTGTAGCAGATAATAAGAATTCTGAATCCGTATTATTTTCTCAATTTTTGATTAAAAATATGTGACAGCAAAATACGTAATTGTTAATATGTAACCTGTAGGCATTTTTTTCATTATTCATATGAACCGATTTTTTTACCTTCACCTAAAAGGGTAAATATAGAACAATTTAAATTTAACACAGAAGAGTCTATTTCCCGCAATGAGATTATTTCAGTTTACGTTGAACAAAAATTATATAGACACTTGATCGAAATAGTTATTATAAAATTAAATTTTGAAATTACTGTCTCAGCTAGGTGTATATGCACACAAGGTGACGAGATTCCTAACTATGCTTTGTACGTGGCATATAAAATATATAAAAAACAAGAGAAAAATAAGTACTAAACCTCGCTTTATGCATTTGCTTCCTACGTAATTGCTTTGATTTATGAAAAATACGTATTTCTTGCCACACATAAACATTTTTTCTGCTGTATTGCTAAATGCTGTCTCTTTTTGCTTTCCTTTCCTTTCTCTCTTCTTTGCCATAAACGGTTAATGTGCCCTAGTACACTGTTTCAATGACTTTTCCATAGAAGTGGTTTTAAAATTACAAGGTGTTTATAAACTATGAATGTATAAAATATACTACGTACTAATTATACATAAAAAAGTTATATTGATGAACTTATTTTAAAAATATACACGTAGTACACATAAACAGAGGGGAAATATATGTATCCCTACATGAATTGAAAATGTACTCCTCAAATCTGAGAGTATAGGTTTGTATATACGTGTATATGTACTCTTTTTGAACCATAAGTTATTCGAAAATACCGAAAAAGTTATTTCTAAATTTAATCTGCATAAACAACGAATGTAGAATTGAAATCTGTATCGGTTTTCTCCATTTTGATTACGTGTTGTGAGGACACTTGTTGCATTATGCCGGCAGCTTGCTGAACACCGCCATTATTGATAGTACGACCACCACCATTACCCATGGACGTGTTCCGTCTGAAAGAACATCAAAAAATTTTTACAGTTTTTTATTCAAATTAAGACCTTACTTTGATTTGGCATGTGTGAGAATATGGGATTTAAGATTGGTAGACTGAGCAAACTTTTTATTGCAACCATCGAATGGACAAACGTAGGGTCTGTCCCCGGTATGTATCCGGACATGAGTTCTAAAATAATCAAATATATTATTGCGACATTGGAAACTTGCGTGTGTGAAGTACGAAGTAAGACTTATTTTTTACCTCAAGTTAAAATCCAATGAAAAGCGCTTACCACAGCCTTCAAAAGTGCATTGGAATGGCTTTTCGCCAGTATGTACAAGCTGATGACGTTTCAGTTTAGAACTCTCTACAAACGCTTTCCCACATTCGGAACAAACGTGAACTCGGGGTCCATGCGTGTGTAAATGTTTTCGCATAGCAGAATTATCACGAAATAATTTATTGCAACCTTTGTGTGGACAAGCAATTTTTTTGTCATCAGAAATATTGATAGTGTTGCACTGAACTTCAGCTATGGTAGAATCAACATCCACAGACGTGGTGTTTGTTGTTCTGTAACTAAGTGGGGGTGGCGAAATGGAGGGAGCGTTATGTGCACCACTGCTTTGTAAAATAACGCCCATTGAGAACGACTGAGTCGCATTATTTTCTGGTTGCATGTGCGCCATAACTATCGCTGTCGAATTTGAATTGTCTGTTAGTTGTACATGTGGTGCATTTATTTGTACATTGGTAGAAGCCTCTTCCGTTGACATTACTATAGTTGGAACTTCCGGTGAGCTCCCAATGGCTAGCGCTGTTGCAAGTCTATTGCCCGTAGTTATCAAGGACAAGTTTCTGGATGTTGCCAAATTGCCAGGTGCGGCCTTTTTCACTTTTTGTTTATGATTAGTGATTTGTTTAGATTCCGTTGGATTGCGTATATTAGATAAAGAAGCGCCTGTGGGCACGACTGTTGCACCCGAGGTAGTAGACGAATCATGTATTAGTATTTGTTGTTGTTGCAACAGTAGATGTTGCTGGAAAAGGTCTTGTTGTAAACTATTACTGTGTTCAAGGAGCGCAGATGGTATCGGACTTATGCTGTCACTAAAATTGGAATTGAGTGGAACGTTATTTTGCGGCGTCGTCGTGGTATTATTTGTCATATAACCTAGATAATCGTTATCTTGATCATCATTCGACGCATCGTCGTCTGATATACCTGATGCCCACATGGTTACACTAAATTCTCCTTCCATAGTCTTTATTTGTACCTGTTTCTGTTCCCAACGGCGTGGTCTAGCGTGCTCATCTGTCATTATATCACCAGCTAATCTAGAACCGAAATGATTAAACTGCGTAGTTGGAATTTGAACTATATTATTTGGTGGTTTGATATTAGCTGCATTTTTTGGGCTCATTGGTCTTCTATTAGCAAGGGACGATGTTGATGTATTTACATTTAAAGGCTGACTATTTGTTGCAGTATTAGAAATGGATGCAGACGCTTGTTGCTGACTTGTTTGTTTCAGAACACTTTTCCGCTTTTTACTAGAAGGAGACAACAAATAAACATAATGAAGAAGAGAAAAATATTTTGCCACAAATTTCATTTACATCAATGATATGTTAGAAAAACAAAAAAAAAGTATGCAATAAATCTTATAAAAGTATACGTTAGGGTTTAGTGTTAATAAATTTTAAATTTGTCAAATACTAGTCATATTTATAAAAATTTTATAAGAACACTCATGTCTATTTTCTACAATGACGCCTTTCCGAAGTTTTTATTTCGCTTTTTTTCTTTAGAGAGATACAAATTAGCAATTATAAGCAGTAAGTGAACATTGCAATTAAGATTATATGATTAATTGTGAACTTATTAGTAAAAGGACCGGCGCAATTTTTGGCGAACATTTCGGTAGAAATATCTTCGCGGGATCGAAAGTTATAAACAAAATTAAAAAAATTTCCAGCGTTTTTTCGAAGTTGTCTCAGTCTTAAATCTATCGTACGCGTATATATGGACAGATCCCAACCATCTTATAATCTTGAGTCCTTAATCGATGTTTGTGTCAAATGTCTTTGTATCAATTTTCGAGATTATGGCAATTTCATAAGAAAGGGGTCAAGATGGTTTCTTTTGGTAGGAACAAATTCATACAGTCGGTCGGTAGTTCTAAGGTCAAGTGGATTTACATATTATTATACAATAAAGCAACAGTTTTTATTAATTTCCAGTGAAGTAAATTATTGCTAGGCTTTCGTGTATAAATTTAAATTATATATATCAATTATAAATCGCTTCTAAATTGACCCTTTTGGTTTGCAAAATTCGTTTTTTCAAATTGATAGCTATTCTTTGCTAAATTTTAAAAGGTTTATTCCCTTCAGATCGATGGCCTTTCTACTGACACCTTATTATCTAGATCTACAATCACATTTGTTACTTGCCATTAAACCAAAAAGATCTTAAAAATAATTTACCGTGAATTAATGCCGGCTGTTGTTGATATTGAAGGCGTTAGAATAGATGAATTAGAAACACACAGTTCCTGTTGAAATGGCGATGTATTAAGGAACACATGGCTTTGTAATTGCGAATCTGTAATCAAAACTAGTACAAAATATCAAGTCCATTTAGAAATTCATAACTATACTTGAAAATTCAATATACAAACCGTCATCAATGCTTTGCATGTCTAAATCCTGAGAATCCTCGTTCGCCTGGTCAAGGTCCTCGATGTCATCACCATCAAATTTTCTACTGTTATTCGCCAATGTTAAAGAAGCCCCACTTGCTACACCTTCGTATTGATCGTTTCTTACTAATATGCCGTAGTGAGTATATGATGCAGACACCATATTCGCAAAGGAATTCTGATCGACTATCTGTTCATTAAGCTCTGTCGTTTGCGTTTCGTGTATTATATCTGACCGTGACATATTTCAAATAATTACAGACCGTTGCTTTTTGCACAATTCTTAAAAGCATAGACGTATTTACAAAATGTAGAAAAATTTCATAGTCATGATATTTTACAAACGTAATTCATTCATACAATTGTGTGTGAAATAAATTTTGGTCATGTTAAAAAAGTAAATTTATTTCTTGTTCAGGCTTTTATTTTCTTGTTTCTTTCTGACACAAAATATGTATAACCATCAACACATTAGCATTAACACTTCAATATAATAAAAATAAACAATTTTCATATTTTTTTAAAGCAGTAACATTTATCGAAAATACATAGTTGCCGTAAACAATTTGAACGATTTATAAGGTCATCCTCTGCTTTTGCTTGACGTAAACTTTTGAAATGAAAAAGCAAACAAATTTTTGGAACACCGAAACAAGGAGGAGCCAGTTAGCATTGTCCAAACATGATTACGATTAGAACAGCTAATCCTTGGATCGGATGAGTTAGTTTATATTCATATGTAAAGCAAACTATAGTTAGATTAGCTAGTAGGTTATGTTTGTTTTCATTATTTAATTCTGAGATGGAAGCAGAAATAGAAATTTATTAAACAATAGAAACTAAAAAAAATTTTCAGCATCTAAAATTACTTAACCAAAGGTAGTTCTATAAAAGAAACCAGTTCATTATTTCCGTAAAATAAGCAAACGTCTTTTCAAAATCTCCTGAAAACATTAAGCATACATCAGCTGCTGCAAATTTTATAAACTTTCTGTCAACAATACATAGTCAATAAATAATAAAGACCATACTTCCAATTATTTCGTTTTAGATCAGCAGAAGACAAAAGAATATTGGAATTCTAAAATAATGGTAACAGTTTTTCCCTTAAATATACGTAGCATTTATCAAATGAAAACGCACAGCAAGGGAAGTGCCATACAAAATCTTTAAACATGCATTTGGACCAGAAAACAATCATCAATCGGAATACGCATAATGCTCGCAATCAATCAACAATTTTCATTTCGAAAGCTTTAAACATCTACCTTCAAAATAAAACTAGATGTGTTTTATGCCGTATTTTCTTAGCACGACGGCATTATAATCTGGGCACTTTTGAGCAAGCTGAACTTCCTTAGGTTCCATGCTTCAAATATTCGGCAAAAGGCCAATAACACAAATATTCAACTGCGAAGTGTTTCCATTATTTTTATTGGAACTTTTTTCGTAGAGTTCTATCTATATATGCTACCACGTTTCCCCTCCCTCCACGAAAAAAATATAATCAAACAAACAGATTTACAATTTCTTTGTTACATTACACGCGCGCATAAATAATTCTGACACATAGCATCTAAAAAAACCTTTGTTTCACTTTTTACGGGGAATGTTTTAGTTTTTTTAATGTTAACCAGACTTGTGATATTCAATTCTTCCTTTGTTATTTACGCTAGTCAATAACAACAAATGAAAACTATAAAAAATAAAAATAATCTTGCATTCTTCTTCTGCAAAACAAAACCTTTAAAAAGCCCAAAACAAAAAGATAACACATAGATTACGACAATATGGCGACCAGCGAATGATTTTGTATGAATAGCAGAGGTGTGTTTTAAAATCTATATCCCGTTTGTCATTTATTAATGTGCTTTTATATATGTTGTATCTTTAAAAATGTATTTAGCGTCCACTGACGCGTTATTCCTATTTGCAGGATGCGACCTTAACTATAGTGACTTTTTATAAAATGTTACGGGAATTAGCATATAACAGGAGGGAAAAAAGCACAAGAAGATAATATAATCATTTCTTTTCAATATTAAGATTATTTATATAATTAACGTTTATCTTGCACTAACGTACATTTCTGGCAACGAAGAATTTACTCTGTGTAAGTAAATCAGGGCATAAGCCTTGACATAGCTGGCATACAGCTATACCCAAAATTTTACAAGACATTTGGCCGAAGTGTGACAAAGGGAAGCCAGCGACTCTTGTAATGATTCGTCTTTGCAAAGCCTTTCACACGGTCGACCATAATTTACTGTTCCATAAACTTCATATTTTGAGTTTATTTCGTTTGTAATCCATTTAATCAGTTTCTGGTTGGTCTCTTGGCATCAACGAGTGGTCATTGATAATTCATATTCAGAATCGGAAACAGTTGTTTGTATCTGGTGTTCCGCAAGAGTCCGCTCTGGAGTCTATGTTGTTTGGTGTCTTTATCAACGACTTGCATATATGTTATAACTGTTGCATTCATTTATATGCTCACGGATTCACGGATCTATCTCTCGTCTCTGCGTGTTATGGTGGGCAATCTGGTCCAGCGTATAAATGAACACCTAGATCGTATTACTCTCGGGTTCAATTCTAATAGCTTGAAGTTAAATACTAGTAAAACGAAAACAATAGTTGTTTCATCAGTTTGTTACGATTCATTATCTTCTGTTAATGTGTGTGATGAAGAGATCAAGCCTTGACTATAAGCTCAACTCCCGTTTGAGTTGTGCAGACAACGTCAACTACACCGTCATGCGTATACGTAACGTTTTGAGAAAGATGTGTCTTTCTTCATCTTAGGTTGCTGTTACCAGTAAACTGAGATTGCTGAAAAGTTTCGTCGTGTCGTTTATATCTTTTAGTGCGAATATATATATAGAATACTTAGATTCTGTCTCTAGCAATAAGTTGCACCGTGTTGGAAATATGAAAACATATCGCTTAAAATTCTTTATTCTGATCTCCGAATGTATTTCAAAGTCAGGAACCTACTATTTTTGCTTAAGCCCCTCTGCGCTCGAACACCACGATATTTAGATTTAAAGCAGCTATCACGGACTTATTTGGAATTACTATCACGTTGGCATCTACTTTTTCATTTGGTATAGTCTACCAAAGAACTTACTCATTCTATACATTACTGTTGTTCATGACTGTGTCGTAAAAGGCTTGATAGGCTTATTGACATTTTAATTAATTAATTAATTATAGTAGTAAATGTTATCGTTATTGCTTATTATTGCTAATTGTTTAAAAAACTTAATTAAACTAAACACCGTTTATTTTAAAGTTGAAATTGTTCTATTAGAGAGTCGTAAACGATAATTTCCAAATTATGGATCAATTAATACACAAAAACGCCCCGACTTTGTTTTATAAATATGTTGTTTATGTTTACATCGATTTCTTTATTTCTGGTTCCAAGACTATATATTTTTAGTCACATTTTCTTGTAGAACAATATGGTAACTCGACTAGCCATTGTGTTTAATACTTGGGAGTTTTAAGCAGAAAACGAAAGTGACACCTTATTGTATCAGACCTTTTAAGCTTTATTAACCCGAAAAACGGTGCAGCGCACCATTCTGTTAAGATACATGTGTCGTTCTGAGAAAAGGCGACATCAGCCAACAAAAAGGTATTTTTATACAGCTTTTTGGTGTACAGGAAAGATAGCGTACAGCAATAAATTTTAGAGAGATTAGTAAGCATATATTAAAGAAGTAAGAAAAAAAATTGTCTTTTGGTCCACGTGCTTATAGATAATGAAATACCGGATTATAAAAATAAGGATGTTTGTCTGACTGAGAGTAACTGGATGAAAACATACAATTTTCGACTAAAAAAAGTGCAATGCTCTGTTAATAAATTGTTTATATTAGCTTTTTGAAAATTCTCTGCGTATATCATTTGACAAAAGTAAATTTTGCTCTAGTTGTGCCTCACGCTATTTTGAAAAATCGTATTAAAGTATTCTTAGTACGGGCGATTATCTAGGTTTTTAAAACATTTAAAATCATCATCTTTCTAGGCCACACTTGAATAGTTGAAATATTATATAAGCGAACAAAAAAAAAATTCTTTTCTGGAAAATGTGATCAGGAGAAACAAATAGTTATACTGTAATCCACAGAACTATTTCCAACAATCTTTGGTGACTTGTACTTATATGAAAGATCTTTTAATAGCTTAATTCCCTTTTTGTAAAAAATTGCAACTGCCGCAGAAATGGAGATAAGAATCTGAAATATGGCATAAACAGTAATTAGTCAGTTAAGCGTGGACAATTTCGTCATATTTTCGTTTGCAATTATCGAATCGAAAAAAATTTGCTATCCAAGTGGTCGCAAGAACCATCTGCATATTTAATTTAAAAACAGTCGCTATCTGTTTACTTATAGGTATACAATTAATGGTAAAATTTTAATTCCAGTACGTTTCTACTTTACTTTTAATACGATTACGAACATGTTAAAGTGCGTGAATTTATCCTTCATTTTAAAAAATAATTACATATCAAATTTATCTTTTAGACATGGGAATATAAGTTTGGTTGGCCCCGAGTCCTATACGTTTCTATCTCTACTAAGGTATGTTAATATGACATATTTTTATGGAATTGTTTTGGTTCCAATGACTATAGCGGATGGTAGCAATTTAGCGCAAATGTTTTGTGACACGTCTGCAGTACAGCGAGCATTGAAGCAGCCGCAAGAGAAGCCCGAAAATTTCTGCGCTCTGATTTGTTAGATGCCTAATACATCAATAATTAATTGAAGAACTTAACGGGCCATGCTTCCATCTACCTATTACGAAATGAAACGAAACAAAGTTAAGCCACTTTTGCAGAAATTAATAGTGAGCAGCGAAATGCCAATTATATACGTAAATTATATATGAAAAAGATAGTGATGTTCAAGTTGATGCTATGTAGGATAAAGCTTTAGATACGGCAGGACTGGAGCGCAATCGTGAGTCATGAGCTGCTCTAAGCTATCTAGGCGATTCTCCCCTGAAACCAAAGTACAACTAACAAATACAGCTAGAAATTTTGAATAGGGAAGGTACCGCATTTCATTATGTTTCTGCCAGAGTAAACAGAACAGTCGGCGAAAATTCAGAAAGCTTGACCAAGAGGTTTTAATTCATCTACCGGATCATGGCTAATCCAATTGTGATTTGTTGCTCTGTCTGTAGCACTCTCTTATTATTATAGAACTCATTTCAAAAATAGCCAGCGATTGATTCAGCTTTTACCTAGAGGTCCAAGTACTTTAATAGAAGAAAAATTTGAAGAAAATGTATGTGTACTTCGGTGAAAAATCGTCACGAATTTTTCCATTGACGCCTTCTGCGTTTAAGTTTATTGATTACATTAGTTGTGGTTTTATCGCATTCTGAATAGAATTCTCTTGAAACTTAAATCAATAAAGAAATATTTGCACAACAAAATTATTAAATACCACCAGAGAAAGTAAAATATATAGATGGCCCGACATTCTGTTCAAAATTTAAATTAGGAGATTATTATGAACTTTTTGTGTTTCTGTTAGCAAGAAGCTATTTGCCACCAGGAATACCAAATTTTCTATAGAACCACACTTTTGTGCTGACATTAATACCCCACCGAATGTATTTTGCGCAAAGTCTATTTTCCATTCCTTGTATCATTTCTGATACCGAACAGAAATATTGCTTTGTTCAATGTTTAAGTAAAAATCGCTACCCGCCAGCCGTTGATAGCCTCCAGACCCCAGCAAGTTCAAAGTAAGGGCTTTAAGGGTCACTGAAGCTTCTTCCTATCGCCATCATGTACACAAATTTTTCCTAAAATATATTCAAAAGATCCTTTTGACGCGCGCGAAATTTTTTGCAGAAATCTACATGCAACAATATGTAGGTCTGAATTTACGTTGTTGACAAATGTGCAGATGTTTGGAATTTATATTATTTTCAAATTATAGCTGTTTTCTTTCGTAAACAGACGAACGACCAATATTAACGCAAAGCGTGAGGAATTTTGTTTACGTGGTTTTGGCAGTGCTGAGAGAGCATTTCCCGCACCTCTTGGGCATAAATGTCGAATCTAGAAAATGAAACCTAGTTAACACCGTACCTAATTAGTAGCCCGAATCTTTTGAGGCATAATGAATTCTTGATTTTCTTTTTGGCCTTGAGACGTTTCCGTTGAAGGTGCACGACGCGTTCGAAGATAATAGTTGGTATTTATAATTGTGAATCTCT